TCACTATACCGCGGTGCATCATATACAATCAAAACCGCAGTTTCCTTATTCCTGTACCGTTCTTTGTTACTATATGTGCAAAGACAAAAATGATGTCGTGCGCTAAGATTATCGCTCAAGTTCAACAAAATAATCACCAATACAACCTTGTGAACTATTAGTGTATGTGCTTTGTGGAAGACTTGAGAGGCGAGCAGCGGTGTCTGGGAGAACAGATCGCATATGTAACATGTGTTATGATCCCCTCTGAGGGTAACTTGAGCACTTTGCCTGTTACTTCCACGAAGTAGCAACTGAACACCCGCGCGAACGGGAGTTTCGGTCGCCATGTGTGCTCGAAAATCTTATAGTGGAGGATGAAAATGGAAGATTGTTATTAGATTGCAATTGCTTTAAAACTTTGATAAATATTAATCGGCAAACGCCACGTTTTGTAGGAAGTCGTGACTCTCAGCAGTTTCATTTCACCGCGAAAGTCAGACCGTTTATTTGGTTTTTGGAAACCGATGCTAACCGTCTAACTTTGAAAACCATGGTTATCGACGTTTTTGAAAAACCTAATAAAAGGTCTGACTTTCGCGGTTTGTTAATACTGTTACGAACCTCGATATGAAAAACCTCGCTCAGAAGCGGTTTTCAATGAAAACGTTTTTTGTAGGATCAATCCCATGTCGCACAAACCGATCGAAAACCGTCGGTTAACCGCGGTCAATTTTTATAAAAATCGGTTAACCGCGGCTATTTAAGCCATTTTAGCGACTTTACAGCGTAAAAACCAACGGTTAACCGCGGTTAACCTCCCAGTTAACCGAATAAGTCATCGGTTATGTCGCTAGCTGGCGGTTATTTTTCCGGTTAACTGGGAGGTTAACCGCGGTTAACCGTTGGTTTTTACGCTGTAAAGTCGCTAAAATGGCTTAAATAATCGCGGTTAACCGACGGTTTTCGATCGGTTTGTGCGACATGGGATATGATATTAATTTCATTATACCTACATCAAGATAATAGTGTAAAAAATAATTGAATACTTCTATCGGATGAATATACTAAAAATCATACACAATGAGCTTATAAAGACATTCATGTCTATCGAAGTTACTATTGACCATGTTACACATGGTTCGATGTACACAAAAATCATGCATCAATAGTGGATGACATTATTTTTGTGTTCTACCTGAGATTATGATGTAATTTTGAAAAGTGTTGCCGTTGCCGCAATTAGATGTTTAAGCCGTACAACTGACATATGGCATAGTGAGAATATTTTCTGTTGTCATGAATATGACAATTGACTAATTAGTCAGGTTCACAAATTTATATAGAACTATCAGTTTCTTACTGGATAGTAAGTCTTGATGGGTGATTTCAAAATGATATGTCGTTCAAGATTCTTTCCTATTTGTTCCATAAAATTGTTTTTGTAAATTTCGTCACCAAATACATTCGCTCTCGTAAGGTTTGTTAATTAGCGAGATAATGATTGAAGTATAGGCGAACTCGTTTGGGTACCGATTTTAATACAATATTAGTTCTGTCGAAACGAAGATGGCTTTGGGCATCGTTGTTACTTGACTTACTGTCAATCAAACCGATAAAATTCTTGGAATTACTGAACGCAGATAATTCAGTAATTATGAACTGTAACTCCATTTAATGTTTTATTGAATCAAACATTCACCAAGTTGAAGAAAAATATAACCGAAATCTTTCAAAAATAGAAGAGAGAGTTCTGCAAACTCCTTCAACTTGAAGAACAAAGAGCTGTGTCCATTTACTCACATTAGAAAAAGTGCGAGATAAATTTTCTCTGCATACAAATAATAAGAAAACCACAGTTAAAATCTTTCAAAATAGAACTGACTACATTTGATCTCTTGTGCAATCGAATCATTACATCTATGTAGTATTCTAATTTCTTTAGCAAAAAATATTATGAAAAAAAATACATATGCATGAGTATTATTCAGACAAACAATCAATTGAATTTGATTTAATTAGCTAATAAAAAGAATAGTTTTTGTAAATCAATCATCATATTGTAACAAAGTGTCTCATATGACACAAGGTAAGCAAATCAAAACATTGACTCTCTGTCATGTAATGATTCTGTTAATAAGAAAAACTTTCGTCTTCTCGAAATGTGAAACATATAATGCTAGTATGCACTTATATGGTACAAGGCTATTGGCAATCAAAATTGAATGAACAGGCAAAAGCAGAGAAAAGAGAATTGTTTTTTGGTTGGTATCTAAATTAGAAAAGTTTTTTCTCGATGTTGAAAAATGACTCGCTGTGTATTTTACGTATTCGTTAGTTTCTTTTCAACGGCGATGACATAAATATTCGAATTGATCATTTTAAACTAGTAAGCAGCATTTTTATCCTTTATCGACTATTACGAGTTCATTTCTATCCTAACTAAAATTCGATAAGGATTAAAACCCTTAAAATAAATTGTGATTGATAAATAAAAGTTCTTTCTATTAATCTTTCGATAATGATTGGAGTCGGCAAGTCATTGAGACTGTGTATTTAACGTAATTGAACTTAGTTTAACATGACATATTGTTGTTTTCTTCTGTTGTCCTATTTGAGCATATTTGCCTTTTCAGAAATAATATACTGGCGCTCGATGTAAGAAAAGTTTCTCATTTCAGTTTGTAGGATTTATTCAAAGATCTAGTGAAAGCAAATTGTTGCTTATCGAACGCAAAAAAAAACAAAATTAATCTATCGTTCACAATAAACAGTCTTATATAGATTTGTTTTAATCAAATGGCTTCTTTTGTATTAAATAAACTTTCCATTATTTTCTTTGATAGAAACGAAATCAGAGTACTTGAAATGAAAAAAGTTTGTTTTACGATCACTCGTCGTTTTTTTCTTTTCTTTGATAATTGCTCGACTAAGTTATACACAAAGCACTACATTTGGCTTGCTAAATAAAATTTATCCTAATTTATTTCCAGTTATAGTAATGATGTCAAATGGTATAAAATAAATCGAGATAACTGTTTATATTTCGTTTGGATGTTGATATGTTTTCAATTCTTATACGAACGATCAATCCGTAGTAACCAGAACAAATAGTATACAATCCATATAATAAAAGACTGTTGGCAACTAGAGAAGTAAAAAAGAAATCTTACATATATATATATTCAGATATAGATTTCGATTGAATAAACTTCTCTTTCCTCTTATAGAAAATAATTTTGAAAGTACATAGATTATGCGGACACTTGTAATAGTTGATTTCACTTTTTTTTTCTTCTTCTCTGACGTTTTTCATCAATCGGTTAAGTTGAGCATTGAGTAAAAAAAACAAGAAATGAAAGAAGTTCTTTCTTTTGTTTCATCAACATAATATTATCGGTGTTGTTATTATTTACATATAGTAGCAACAATGAACAAAACTTGTATCTCCATTAGTGTGAATAGTCAATACTTCATATGATTTAACAGGCACCCGTAGCAAAATGAGAAATCTGTTTTTTTTCTTCTTCTTTATTTTGTTGGATTATTAATAGTTTTAACAAGCTTGAAAAAAAACGAACGAGAAAAAATGAACAGAAAATAATTTTACTCTCGTCGTAGTCAAATTCTCAAAAATACTTAATTCTTTTAACACAGCTGCAACGCTCTGAGGTTCTCTTGTTTGTTTTTCTTCTCCTTTTCTTCTTCTTCTTCTTCTTCTTCGTTTCTTTTCTGTTTTATTTCTGTCATTGACACCGTTATATCAAAAGAAGTATGCTACATGTCGAAATTTTATAATTTCTTTTTTTTTCGTCATACAACGATATTTGTATGTTCGTTTAAAGGTTGATACAATGTCAAGTAATCGTATTTCAGTGGGAACCAGAGATAATACAAGTCTATCAAACACGGATCGTTTAGCGCTCAGTCGTGCGCAACATCTTCAATTACGAGATACTCGACCGAAATCTGTCTCTGATGATGAAACCGATGCTGTTTTAGATTGGTCAGATTCGGATCGTGAATGTTGTCCATTGAGTGACTTTGAAACAACATCCAATAATGATGAAACTGAGTGTAATGAAACTGTTTATGATAAACAATTTCATGAGAATAATAACAGAAATGAACTATCACAAGACACTTGTCCGTCAACTATTCCATCGTTCACTAAAAATCAAATAAATGTCACTGAAACACCATACTCAATGATTGATGACAGCACAACAAGTACACGAATATCGTTTTCAAGTGAAATTGAAAAACCGAGAACACAATTTATTAAAAATACACCAGTTAATGCAGCACAACTACGTAGACAATTACAGCCACCATTGTTACCTGCTCGACGTATTCAGAAAGAACAAGTTTCACCATGTTGTCTATCGACAACTTCCGTAATTAATTCTCAGTTGTCATATACTTATCGTAATCGTAAAACAGTATCAAGAAATTCAACACGTCTGTATTTACATCGTGAAAACACTTCTATTACAGCAAGTTTAAATAACCCATTAGCAAAAGACTCGACAGTATCATCAACGTATTCATTTCAAAGTCATGATGACACTCATAATCAACGACATATGTTATCACCAAATTTTAGTCAAACTTCAGTTCCACGTGTATATGAAATCAAGAAAGTATTTGTCGACGATTATGACTATGGTCGTTTAACTGATATATCATCGATACGACCATCTCGACCGCTAAGTCGTCAAAAATGGGGCACAATCGTACATCCACCATTTCCACTTGGTTATCAACACGTACCTCCTGAAAAGATAACACGAACTGTTGAACGTCTCGCAAGTTCTGCACGATGTCGTGACCGACATACTGGCATCGAAGCACCATCGAAACGTTACTTATCGACTGAACAAACTGAGGCCTTGGTAAAAATAAAATTAATTATTTTTCATTTTTCCTTTTAATTTCTCTTGTTTTTTTTCTTCGTTTCAGATCAGTCGATTAAATAAAGTAAAAACTATTCGATCATCTGATCACTGTTGGCCAGTACAGAGACAATCTAGAACTGTAAAAACATTGAATAATAACTGGAAAGGTTTTGGCATATCAGCATAATCCGCTTGTGCTTGAATTTCAGGGTTTTCTGTATGTTATTTTTATTCAAAGAAAAAATTTACAAAAAAAAACACAAGAAACTTAAATCATCTTGTATCTCTACATAGATGTTCATTGATACAACGATCGATTCATTAATGATTTTTATGAAACAGTTTGTGTTATGAATAATCTGACTAAAACATATAGTCGCATTACATAATGTTGATGAATAATTCAACATATAATTTTTTTTTTCATTTGATCAAAGGTTTCGGTTCAAGGTAACTCATCTATATTAACTATTTCTTTTTCGTAAGAGAATTTTACATCATTGAACGATGATTAAAAGTATATGGAAAATGGTACTTCAATACAGAAGTCGGTCGATTGATGTATTTCATAATACTAAAATAGAGAACTGGTTCTCATTCATATGTAGTTAATAAACATCGAGTCGAGACGAGATATTTTACATAGAGAGCAATTTTTTGTGTATTCATCTAAGCTTGAACATCGAATGATGAAATTCTTTTTATTCATTATCAATTATCATACAAATAGAACGAGCCTACTTTAGACGACTGACCTCTAAGATAATCTATTTTTAGAAGAAAAATACAAAAAAAATATATACCGCATTAATCTATAGCAATTGAACGAGATGAAATAATACGATCGATCTATTGGGGCTCTTCAATTGATATTCAATTGCTGTATTTATAAAAGCCTTACGTTTTCAATAAATTCTACAAATACCAGAAGCAATTTCGCTCATTAAAAATACAGATCGCTGCCATAGTTAATCTAACTATTAATTGTTCAAAACTGTCTATTAAGAATATGAATTGAATAGGAAGTTTGAGTGAATTATTTTCATCTTTCATTATGCAACAATAAAATCATGGATTTTATTTAGTTCATCTTAATTTGAAATATTTCCGGACAAACATTTGCCAAAATCTGAACACACTCTATACAAGCAAACAACACACAAATGATATCGATCATTTTTCATCTTGAATAGCTTAACGAAAAAAATTTGTGGAGGAGTTTCGAACACAACTATTCATGCAAAAGTCTTCAGAAATATGTTAAATTCTGCCAAATGCTAAACTAACGAATCTTCTTTTTTGGGTCAGACATGTTCTCTAGAAGATCGAAATATTTCAGTTAATAAAAACATAATTCTGCAGATAAAGCGAGAAAACGACCTACTTGCGTCATCATTTTTTGGAACAACTATAATTTTATATAAAAATTAAACGTAATTTTAACTCCCAATAGACAATTGAAAATGGTACTTATTACGCTACAAAAAATCAACATGCTGTTTTTATTTCCTTTTCTGGCATAGACAAAAAATCTTGTTACTCGATAGCGAACCCTATGAGTACTCTTTTGTTTTGCTTTCGTATCAAGTTCGTTCTGAAAAACTATGTCCAGTAAAATAATCGGTTCTTTGCAACACGAAGGCAATCAGTAAACAGTATATGACAAATATTGACCTATTTTCAAAGACTTTTACATTGGATATTATTATGAATTGATTGCAATACAATGAATATGCTTGAAAAAAAACACATGATATAATCGCGATTGTTCTTCGTCAGCCATAGCTTACATATTTTCATAGCAATGATTAGTTTTACTTATCTGAAAAAGATTGTTACCAGCGAAAAAAATAAAGAAAAGCTACTCGATACAACACGCAAAATCACATCTCATTAGTATTTAAAATTACAAAACAAAAAGATTATCGACAATTGTTTTATAACAAATAGTTGCATGTTTGTATCTGAAAATCTAAGCTTTTTATTTAATATTTGTTTTTATTTTAGTTTCTAAGGTCTTATTAGACTAATGAAATCTCGCACAAAAAAAAGAAAGCGAAGTAATTGAGTTCGTTTATTCTTCGTCATTTTTTTACTTCTGCTGCTTTGTGTGTCGAACATCGAAATATCAGTTTACACATCTCTCTGTTCGAAGAATAAGTTATCAAGTTAAATTCAAATATTTACATAGAGACAAAAAAAATTTTGCTATTCGATCATTTTGTAATTTTTCAAGTTTTTTTAAAATAAAAAGAAGGTACGTATTTAGAAAAATCAAGAACAAAGCTTTTTCTTTTTCGAAAATTTTTACCATATAAAAAATAATATTACGAGACGGAAATTCTCGCAAGAAAGCTATTTCGAAACATTTAAATCGCACGTGATTAATATTAATTTGTCATGAACATACGTTCTTTGTAACTATGAACAGCCCGTCTCTAGACAAGGTTACAGTATTCTGTTAGATACGCATACTTAGTGAAACGATGTAGCACAAGAAAATGAGAAGAAAAAGTACAAAGAAGTGCGCTCGAGAATTTTATGCTTTTCCGAAGATGAGGATAATGTATGTAAGCGACGTAGAGAACGTGATGGAAAAATTTTGATAAACTAAAAGCGCTTTCATTGCTATTACCTTTCTCTTTCATACTGCACAGCTGCATTTACAATAAACATAATGGAAGATGATCGAAGTGAGTTATTTAAATTAAAAATATAAATTAATCGGTAGACCTTTTTTTATGAATAGAAAGTAATGAGCAAATAGTACGACGACGAAGAAGAATAGTTGACAGTTGATTGAATAAAAATTTATAGTTGAATAAATCATATTGTTTGTTTTTTAAACAAAAACTTTTCGATCGATCAAGTAAAACCGTCGGCCTTTGTTCTTAGAGATCACCAATTTGATTCAATTAAATATATAATTTATACATTGAATTCTATGATGATTTTAAAGTAATTTCTGATGTTTGTTATCTAAAATTTCTTTCTGTAATATGATCTGTACACAACTAATACAAAAAATATCATTTAATACTATTGAATTTGTCTAACTTAAGTATACAGAGTGTGGCCTCTACTACACAAGTGACTTTACAAGGAAGAAAAGTTTCAAATGTTTCTTGCGCAGTTCGCACGAATGTGTTGATTTTTTTTCGGCTTACGAAACACAGAATGTAAGATTTTTCTTCTTCATTATTATGAATCTTCATCTATAAACGTCTCTTTCTCTTTCTTTATAAGTATTCATTAGACCCTTGTGAAAAACTTTGATTGATACCGCATTTAGTTGAATTAATTTGTTCTTCTTTCATGAAAGAAAAAATTCGACGGATAAAGTACTGAGTGAGCTAGCACTATTTTAAAGTTTTCATAATTATCAAATGAGAGTTCAATGTGTCTTATTTCTTTTTCTAGACTTGTCAAATCAATGTTTATATAAGGCAGACAGCTAACAGTTCATAATAATCATGTGAAAATACTAAACTAATCCTAGATACTGTTTTCTGTAAGTCACAAACAGCGGCTTTATTACATATTGAAGAAATTCGAAGATAGGTTTAGCCATTTGAACTTGTCCTTTATCAAAAATCTATAAAGTAGTTTAGTCAGTAAAAAACTGACTTATATCTTTACATGTTGTGTATGTAATGAATGCTAGAAATAGTTTCAAACTCTAGTTTTTTCAACAATCATTAAATTTAAATGTCTATTTGCAGCAGCTCCAGAAGTTCACCCAAGTCCAATAGAAATGCATGAAATGCCTCGAGATGACCAACCAGGTAATAGAAGTGTTCTAAAAGATTGTTTTGTTTTGTCGAATTATCGTTTTTTGCCTCTTTGATGACTCTCGAAAAATTTGTCCTTGGAAATATTGAAGGTGACTACTCAAATCGATATACAACAATAGCTGATCATCCATCATCAACAAAACCAATACAGTCCACTTCAATGTACGCACTTGAAACTCGATATCAACCAATGCCATCAAAAACATTACCAAAAACGACTGAACCAAATGTTTATTACTTAGATTCGATACCAGCAGACGAACAGCCGATTAAAAAACGAAGTATGTTATTACGTGTTCAATGTTTCAAAAATGATTCTATAATACATATTAGATCGACAAACGAAACTTCCCGTTGAAGAACAAGTACAATCAGGCGCACCAACTGTTTTTCTTGCACCCAAAGTTATGCCACAACCAATCCTTTATACACTTGCTAATGCAAGACCTACGCCAATGACTGATCCATCAATGTCTGTCAATCAGCAGTCGTCAGCCCCAACTATCTATTCATTAGTTAGTCGACAACGTCCTCAAACTGTAGATATGAGTGCTAACAGTTCAGAAATGCCGGATCAAATCAGTAACAAATCTCCTACATTGTATTCATTGGCTAGTAGTTCCAATCCTAAAAGAAGAATTGAAGAACCAACTGATCAATATTTACGGCCATCGCCAAATTTTTATTCAATCGTCGGTAGTCCAGCACGTACATCCCGAGGTACACAAGTTGATCTGCCTGATCCGAATGGTCCAGCACCAATTTTATATACGATTGTGGGTGACACACCAATTGAAAAATACAGACCAAAAGCAGATAGTTCACCGCGCACAATAACAAATTCATCAACAGATGCTGCTACTTACACGACAAAAAATGATCCTAATATAATTCGAGCACAACAACAATATCCAAGTCCAAAACCTACAGTTTATGCACTAGTTGGTGAATCAGATACAGTTAAGAAACCTCAACCAAAGTATGTATTACCATTTCTATAGTAAACAGATGTCTCACTTGACTTTTTTTTCTTTCAATTGATTTAGACCACCTGCAGCAAAGCAAACTTCACCGGCAATATGTATTACTGACCGTACTAATCGTAGTTTCGAACGAAAGTCAGACATGATTCGTGACGAACCTGTATCCTACCCAATAATAAAAACTAAGCAAGAATCTCCGCTGAAAGGTTGATACTTATTTCGAAGTTTAAAAAAATAATTTCAAACATTGAAATTTTTAGAACGAAAATATCCAAAATCAGAAACATTAGTAGTTCCTGCAATTGATGAGCCAATTCGTGCACTTCCACCAATATCTCAACAATCAGCTGTGTTTTATACAGGCTCAGAAAGCGTACAGCGTAAACCTAACGCATCAATACAAAATGAACCATTACAATTACCTGACTATCGTTCACCCTATGCATATCGAACACAGAAACCATATCGTGGCCGAAATTCAAATAATAATCCATTACCTGTTATATCAAATAGCCGTTCGGAAACAAAACCAAGACAACCAATCTATGAAACACGACCTCATCTTGATCGACGACAGCCGAGTGCCGCAGCGAAACCAAAATCTTTGGTAATTATCTTTACTTTTGGTATAGTGAATTGTTAACATATATAAATATGTATTTATTTATAGGAGCGATATCCTGCTAACAAAAATGCACGTTCAGGTGCATGGGATAATGGTTATCAAACTCAAACTGATGACGATGAAGAATATGAGCAACGAACAAATAAGAAGAAAAGACAATATAAGAAAGCGCAGTCACGTGCGCCATGGATACCTGTTTGGTAATCGAGAACAAAAAACAAAAAACAAATTTTTTTTTCTATTCAATCTCTGCTTTGGTATAAACATATAAATAGAACAAAAAAAGAAATTATGCTGTTTCATTTTGTTAACGTTCTTTTCTTTTGCGAAAATATAAATGTTTATAGAGCCATTTATTAATTTAGCGTCTTGTAGAAAACAATTTGAATTCTAAAAACAACAAGAAAACCAAAGTAAGCAATCATAATTCACCGAATGTGTATGTTTACCTTCGAAACTGATTGTACCACTATTATCAATGTCAAGTCGTTTGATTAAACCTTGAATTTCTTGTTCGGCCATTTCTGGTGAAACGCCAATCATTTCTTGCATTGGTTTATAATAATTTCTTAATTCATTAACGGTTATTGAACCATCATTGTCTTTATCTATTCGACGAAATTCTTTTCTAAGTTGTTCGTCAGAAAGTGAAGCCATTCGGTGTGTAGTTATTTATGAAAAGAAATGTATCGAAAATATTGAAAGCAACCTATATACATATATCCACACAAATAACGATTTGTTTTACACTTGACTGGTTTACTCATGAAACATAGCATGTCATAAGTAAAGAACGAATAATAATGATAATATGAAAAACAAATATATTTCATAGCTATGATTGATCATTACTAATCAAGCACTATCGATATTATAATTTATATAAAAAACAAAACAGAAATGCGATGCAACTGACAGATATAATTTCAGACACATTTCTTGCTGATCGCGTCATGACTATACAATTAATACGAGTATGAATAATATTAAAAATGGCCTTGAATGATTTTCTGGCCCAAAAATTGTTCTCCATCCAAAAATGTTTCCAGCAAGAATATCTTATTTTTATATTGTAATAGAAAATATGAGAATTTAGGCGATTGATTGAAGATAAACATTTGTTTTTGCGTGTGAAACTTAGAGATAAATAGAATCAATCGTTTTTTGATGCAGCCAGAATCATCATAGCCTTGTCTATTTTTAATTTATTTCATCGCTATTCAATTCTTCAATGAATACATCACATTTTTAGATCGATACATTAAATCCATCCCACGGATCTTCCTCATATCACTATTCAAAAATCAATGTGCATCCTACTAAACTACATCACAATAGTTTGCTTAAACATCATCTTCATAAAGCTCGACGAATAAAAATAAATGAGATATGATATTTAAGAATCGAAATTAGATATTTTCTGTTCGTAGCTTAATATGAATTAACAAAACACATGAAATAATTATATTGAATTTTTATTCAATGTTTTTCAGCGTCGGAATCAAACAGTAAATTATGTTTATTCCACGTTATATTACACGAAAATTATTTAGTGCGCGACTAATTAACATACGCATACAGAAAAGAAAAGAAAAGCAGATAGTAAAACTTGAGATTATTTCCAAATTTTAATATGTCGTTTAGCTATTTCATAGCTGACATTGTTAACAATACCTTCCCATTGAAGTGTATCGTTTGGTTCATTAGTACCGGTAAGCCATATATTTAATGTTAAAAGATTAGTCATGTTTTTAATAAATTTACCAGCAATTTGTCGTAAATCATAAATCGTATTTAAATTAATTTGCAAGTGTTTCAAATTCGAAAATATTTCAAGAAAACGATTATGATCAACAATTGGTAAAATACCACGACGTAAGACAAATTTTTCCAGTTTATCATATAATTGAGAACATACATCTTTATTCTGAAGACGATCTGTTACAGTCTAAAAAGTAAAGAATTCAAATAATTTACTAGAATTTTTACAATCGATATAGTTTCAATTTTCTTCAATGTAATTTATCATCAGTTTGATTTTACTCGAACCAATCGAATGTTTTGCTCAAACAAGAAAATCTAGTAAGAAATTTCAAAGTCATAACTCATACTTGCGTGATCGTTTAATTAATGTTCCGCTATTATGGCACGAACATCATCTTACTTCGAAATTAGTTTAATTTAGGAAGAATAATACATCGTTTTGTTTACTGTTTACAGAATCACCTGTATTTCTTATTCACATATAGGTCATTGGGTACAGTTGCTTAAGTCAAATATTTTCGAACTCAAATCTACAACCTCTGCTATCCATAAATTCTCATGCATCTTCGACCTCGAATTGCATATCTCTAAGACATAACATGGAATAGAATTTACCGTTAGAATATCATAATCAGTTTTGAAATTTCGTAAGCATGGTGTAGATTTTAATAGAGCAAGAAAACTGGATGTAGGTAACGGAATAAAAAGTTCCAAATGAACTAATTTATTTAAATGAAACATTGATTGAAGTTGTAGTAATAATGTTGAATAATTGACTGGAACGATTGCATTTTGATATATCTGAAGAGCACGTACGTTCGGATATACTCGTTGACTTTGAATCTAAAATCAAAACAAATTTTCGTGTGCAAATCTATTAAGTTTCAATTTCAATTACCTGCATGGGTATATTCGTTTTCAAGTAAATATCAGTCACTGAACTAAATGCATTATGTGGTACTTCGATTACAGGTAAACAATGTATTGTACTAATAAACGAAAGACGACGATATGGCACCGTGAATAGATGAAATTTCTTATTGTCTTGTGAATAATCCACAGCGATATGCCATTGACGCCAAAACTCAGTTAGAAACGATGGCGAAATTTCATTATTGGATGTCACTGATACAGCTTTAATATCGAGTGTAAGAAAACGTAATTTTTCTAGCGTTGCTAATATTTCTAACCATTGTTTTGAACTTAAAAAATCGATTCCAATCGCAACTATTGTAAATCGAGTAAGTCGTGGCAAAATCGAAAGTATATGCGCTACATAATCAGACCGAACTGTATAAACACAATTGAGTTTAAGTGTACGGAGAGTTTCAAACGAGCGGTTCAATGGTGGTAAAAATCCATGAAAGTTAACAACAAGTCGATTAATACTAAGATGTTGAAGTGAAGGATAGAAATGAAATAGAGTATGAAGATCATTTATATAAAAACTATCGAGAATAAGACGATTGAGATGAAGATTGGGTCGAAGTTTCTGTACAGGTAAAGCGTCATCATATCCAAGAACACATCTGTATAGTAAAATTTCTTCGTTTTATTATTTATATTCTTCAAAATTGTTCTATTGAACGTTTTTTTTCTTACGTTTCTAAATATGGAATATCGAATAGAAGACCAAGATGAATTTTTTGTTCAGACATTTTATAACATTTAAGATGAATCGATGTTAAATGTTTTAATTTAACAATTTGTTTATAATCCATTTCATTCGGTTCCGTAAACGACATTGTGCGTAGGTTAGGAAATGTTCTCTCAATTTGTGAAAATTTCGTGAAAAATAATTTAATTCCGCCGCATGTTTCTACATTTGATAAACGAACTGAATAAATGCACGATGAATAGTGAAAACATATTTTTGAACAATATTCATTAAAATCATTGAAAGATAAATTAGTCGATAAATCGACGTGCATTCGACGTTGAGTAATTAAATTTTGTATACGTTCATTAAGCATATCGCATGCACGAATTAAATCAATCGGGAGGAGATAGTCGAAAATTTCCAAGAGAATTTCATTAGCTAAATTTTCTAGTTTTGATGAAGACATTATTTCAATCTAAAAGAAATTATTAATTATAATCCGGTAAGGGGAAATTGTGAATTCGACTTACGCATTGTTTGATATTATTTAGATATTAGATCTTTTAAGGACATGTTTACACAGATATATAAAAAAAGACTATTACTAATGCGTGCGTTCAGACTTTCCCTAACGCTCAAATCTTATTCTATTCTGGAATAAATTAGGGTTTGGTTGATTGTGAACAGTTTAGATCACTTTGTTCTTGTTATCTTTAGGTGCAGTTATGATAAATGCCTATTTTTTTTAATATTAAACTAGCAGAATCAATGCTATCATGTCAGAGCAGGAGCCTTAAACAAATACTCAAGTGATTTTCAACTGTCATACTTTGATGATGTTTTTTAAAATGTTCTGAACTACAAAAAGAGTCGCTCGAAAGTATGATAGATCTTAATCTCAAAGCTATTGAAATCAACGGCAAAGAAATTCTGCTTGTCCTGAAGTGATAGAAATTGAATCAATCTTGAACAAAATCATATTTAACAATAATTGATGAAAACATGTGAAACTTGTTTTTCTTTCTTTTGTGAATTAAAAACAAAAACATTTACATCAAAAAACAGCATTCTTCTCTTTTAATTGGCAATGTTCTTTTAAATATTTTACGATACGTTCACAATCGATCCCTTGACGTTGTATATTAAAATAACCTTTTTCAGATAAATCAACAATGGTTGAACCACATCGATCGTTCGATGTTAATAAACCACCATCAATTACTAGATCAATTTGTGGCCATAATGCTTCAAATTCTTGTATACAAACTGCACTTGGTTCATTCGATATATTTGCACTGGTTAAAGCAATCGGTTCTTGTAAACGTTGAGCTAATTCAATCATGAATTGACAATTGGGAATACGAAGAGCGACTTGGTTTGCATCTGGATTGAAATATGAAGGTAATATGGATTGTCTTTCAAACATAAGTGTTACTGGCCCAGGAAGAAGATCACCAGTAGATAATTGCTCTTTTGTAAGAGTTGGTTTTGACCAAATAAATAAATCATCGATAGTACCAATAGATATAGCTAAAGGTTTCGTAAATGATCGACCTTTAATTTCATAGATTCTACGAAAACCTTTCTCACTATTCACTAATGCAGCAAGACCATAAATTGTATCTGTTGGTACAGCTAAAACTCCATCCTGTTTTAAAATTGAAATACAATCATCTATTAAATTATTGTCATTAATCGAAACCACATTGGTCGACATTCTTTTTTTGGAATGAATCGAATGATGGCGTACAAAAATGTGGTTACCAAGTTTTTGAATGCATGAAATAATACGAATCATAGTAACATTCTATCAGGAAAAACTGAAATTCCATATCTTTATCAAAAAATTTTATCAATAATAGAAAAATTTTTCAAAAATGCTGAAGTACAAAGACTGTAGCTCAATTATATAAGAATACAATGCGTAAGAAAAACAAGTTAGGGACCTCTTGTTTATTTTCTTATAATTTTTACTTATCCAATACTTGGATAAAGTTTGTGGTTACTGTATATAGAGGTCGCCATAAACATGTTAGATCATCGTTGTCAGAATACCAATTCCATTACTCATTAACGCTTATACGTCATTCAACAAAACGCTGATGCTACTGAAGTAATGCTTCATAAAGGGAAAAAAACTTTGAGTAAAGAATTCTCTCTCGATATTTCTGGAATTGAAAATTTCAATAATATGTCCTTCTTTTAATAATTCTATCGTCCACTGCGCGATAGTTAGAATATCAAACTAGTATCGTTGTACATAGTGACAGTATTCCAACTGATGTTTCTTAGAGAAACTGTGCCTGTGTCTCGTACCACTCGATGAAAACTAGGACCAAACTATTTTTTCTAAATTTTTCACGAATCCAGAAAGACACCCAATGTTTCTTGTAAAAAATTGAATAACTTAGTCGTGCTTGTGAACATAAAAAATCGTGAAGTTAGATTCCCGTGCAAATAAATTTGTGCGCTCTAAATCTTACATTTAATGGACATTGAGACAACAATTTAAAACGATTTTTGAATGATGAAAACCAATTCGTAAATATCTGTAAGACACACAACAGCTACGAGTGCAATGGGAAAATCTCTTTTCGAAATGCGGCAATAATTACGATAGATTTTCGTTTTACGCATTTTTTTGTGACTATTCTTTGATAAATGACTTTCAAACAAACTGCATTATCATCCCTTTTTGTATGACATTTCTATGTGTATTCCCCGAACTTTTTTATATAAATATTTAATCGAATCTGACTAAATCATTTTTTTTCAATATGTTGAATAGGTCGTCCAGCCTCTAAATTCTGTTTGAACAATTTAACCATTAGATGCCAATCATAAATATAATCAAATTTTTCTTTAAGTCGATTAATTAGTCCGATCAGTAAATTTCTTAAATAACCATAATCTGGTCTTTGTGTGTATGATAATGTTCTGGAATATTTATAAAATAATTCAAATTCATATGGTAAATTAGCACAAAGTTCTTTCGATGTTAAACTTTCTTTTATTTCCATTAATTTTTCATTACGTTTTCTTCTATTCGAATTTTTTATTGACATCCAAGGTAGAAAACCTTTAGCTAAATAAATAATTATGTAAGATAAACATTCAATATCATCACGTCTTGACTGTTCCATTCCATGATGAGTATATAATGAACAATAACGTGCTGTACCAGTTAAAGTTTTACCAGTTCGATAGAAAGTATGTTCAAATGTCAATGGATGACGATAATTTTTCGATAAACCAAAATCAATTAAATGTACTGTATGCGATTTTGTACCAAGACCAAATAAAAAATCTATTTGATACACACTAAAGCAACAAATCCTATCGTTTTCTATACTCACTATCAGGTTTCAAATCTCGATGAATGAGTGAACGATTATGTAATGCTTCAACAGCACGTAGAATTTGTTCAATAATCATACAAATCGTTTTTAAAGAAAATTTTCGTCCACAAAAATTCAATAAATCTTCAACTGATGGTCCTAATAAATCCATAGCAAGAACAGTATATTCATTATGAATACCAAAATAAAGCATGTTTGGAATATAGATACTTTCATACATAATATCAAAAACATATTTTTCAATGGATAATTGTGGACGTGAAATATTCGCGTTTTCAAATTTAATAGCAACTAATAAATCGTTTTGATTTTTATCTTTAGCTAAATAAACCTTAATTTAGTAGAGAAAATAAAACTATAGAATGATTAAAAATAATCAAACATACTTCACCAAATCCACCACGACCTAAACGTTTTATTGTTATGAAACGATTTGCAATTATTTGAATTTTATCTAATGATTTATTTTTATCCGACTCTTCGATTTTATCATTATCTATGGGTTGCAATGAATTTATTATAAATTTAATTTTAGACTTTTCAAAAAATATTACCCAATGATGCGTCGAGTTTCAATACATCCGACATAAATAAAATAGAAAATAGAAAATAGCAATTTCGCGCATTATATTTTCGCTTCTTTATATTATTTCCTGAGATAGAAAATGATTGTTGACACTTTCCATTTTTTAAGCAAGGAAAGGAGATCTATGAATAGTCCGTATTCGAGATGATTTGGGTATTCGTTTTTTCTTGGTTTAATTTTTTGTACTTTCACCGAAAAATATTTTCTATTTCTTCATCTTTTATCAAAGGAAAAGAAAAAAGTTCAATATCGAATTTTTAACAGATTTATAATAAAGATCATCCTTGTCTGCAATATCGAATGCCTGCATAAATCGATAAGAAAAAGAAAAGAACTTAATCTCTTCTGATAACTATTAAAATTCAAAAGGCCGTCTGGATATTCCTGATTTGTTTGAATTTAAAATGTTTTCATTCGTCATTTATGTGGCTCTTTTAGGACATGTCAAATATTGTTGAGATTACTCTTCTAACTTATAAACATATCTTATCTATACCTACATATTGGGACGTATGTTAGATAATCAATCTTCTACCTAACTGTAAATTTTGTTGATTCGAATTTCGATGAGATCAAAGAGGTTCCGAAGTGAGCATAGAATACATTCAATATTGGTATGAAAAAAAGAATTAAGAAGAATATTGTGCCAAAGCAAAAAAGGATAATAGATTTTGTTTTGTATTCATTCCCTAATTTCAAAAATCACTGTGTTGTTCATGTTTTGATGTTTTAAAATAATTGTCTATTTCAATTCATAATTCGGTCGATGAGTTGAGAAGTGTCCTTGTGATATCAAAAAAGATTAGACTTCTTTTTATGTAGACAGAACATAGAACACGTACACCGTAATCGGACACTTAGATTTCCTCTTCTTTTTTTTCTTCTTTCTTTCAACTTCTAATCATACAATCGTGCTGATTAGAATTCTTTTTTCTTTTCTCTATAAATTTGATGTCAATAGGAATACAGAGAAACGAAGACGAGTAGAATCGCGAGACTAGCAAGAAAATCAATGGTGTTTAAAGACTAAATTTTCATAAAAATCTTCGATGATGATAATAATTGCTGTTGTCAAATATTTAGTGTCAAAAAATTAACTATGAACCGTTTGCTTAGTTTAAATTTCGTATAGACGATGAAGCCATTAGAAAAATGAGACGAGCGAGAAAAAAGAGAAGAGAGCTTCTGTCCCAATTTTGTGACTTCTCCTTTTTCTTTTATGTCATTGTTTTAAAAGCAATACATAGAAGTAACAGTTCTCTTTTCACGGTAGCACCTATTGTGATACACGATCACTTGTAACTACAATTGTTTTTAGAACTGCATGATGAAATCTCGCTATCATCGTAATATATGGTTCATGTCGAGAAAGTGAATGATTTAATGTCTAAATAGTATAACAGAAAAAGAAATTGTTTCTTCTCTTTCTCTTTTTTTTTCTAATAATATATTTCATAATGTCGTATGTCTCTTGAATAGTTCAATATTCACATTGTCTTTTCGGATATATAGCTTCGTTTTTTTTTTTATTGTTCAATAGAAAAAGTAACGATTGCATTTATATGAAGTGAGAAGAAAGAATAGAATCAATCGTTTTATATTTATAGGGTCCTCTTGTTACGGGAGCAAAAAAAAGAGAAGGAGTATGAAATCAATTAATTTCTTTTCAAAGAAATCATATTAGAATAGTTTATGTTTACATAAGGGTTTTAACACTTGGTAAATTAGTTAGAATTTCTTTGTTTTTTTACTGTCCCTATCAATACAAAAGCAAAATGACAAGTTTTTATTCTAGTACGACTCTTGTCGTAAAAATGAGTTCATTTTTCGCTTGTAAAAATGGTCAAAATATATCATGGACATTCGTTTGTGACGGTTATAATCAATGTGTCGATGGTTCCGATGAGCAACAATGTAAATTACATTAAAACGAAAATAACAAATCTGCTTTTATTTTAAATGAATATTTTTTTTATTTTTAGGTTATTGTCAAGGTGATATTTATGCTTGTCGACAAGGAAATAATGTTAGTTGTAGAATTGCATGTGCAACTTATGGCCGTGTTACTTGCTTAACCTATCAAAATATACGAGCTTGTGAACAGTACATACAAGGACATAGTTAGTAGAATACGATATTATTTTCTTGAGAAATTTCTTTGTTCTGATGTGTTTTTTAGTTAGCACAATTCCTCTTGATATTAGTTCTACCAGTGAATCATTGATAATAACAAATCATTTCGATGCACTTCGATATTCAGCTTGTTTAGCTATTAGTATATTAGTATTTTTTTCAATTGTTTCTACTCTTATTTATTTAATTCGTAAAAATTCTTCAAAATTCGTATTCGCCTATACCAATAAAGGATTCAATACAAATACAAATACAAATCGATTATCGTCTAATATAGAACAGCCATCGCCTAGATTAGATCTTTCTAGTTCATATGTTACATCGACATCTGATATCAATGATTTGCCACCATCATATGATCAGTTCGACCGAAATTCAATACCAATAAATGACTTTTATGAACCACCACCTTATCCTGGTCTACCATTGTTGTCGACTGTACAAAATTCAAATTCATTCTATTCCGAAGCCATGAAAACGCGAGCATCATCAAATTCAATGTCGATGTTAAATCCAATGCCTCTACCTGAACAACATGCTTTAACTAATATTCGAACATATTGTGTATAAGAAAAAGTTTAAAAAATTGTGCGTTTTCATTATCTATTCTTAAAAAAAACAGATGAAAAAATATCTTCTTTTATAGTCCTGATTTTCAGTTAGAAGATAAGATAAATATGAATTCACCCTGAGAAAGATTTTTTTTTCTAGATCAAAATTTCAAAACTAGATTTATCGTGATGATAGCTGAAAATAATTGAAAAATAATATTTTCTCATTTTCTATTGAGAAAATGATTCAAAGGATTAATTTCAAATCAGAACTTGATTTGATATCGGATCAATCTGATAGGCTCGAATGCCACGGTTCGCTGTGTGCGACACTTCCCAGTAGTCCTAGAACATTCATGAATCAGCATGATTGTCTTGTTTTCTTGCATTCATTATATTATCACTATATCTACAAATCTAAATTTAATCTATTTTTCTTTTTAAACACGGATAAATTTCAAATAATCAAATTTATCAATCCTTATTAGTAAGAGCATTTAATAAGCAAAATAAATGAGCATACAAAACATGCAATGATAATGTCAACGGCCAGTTGCCACTATGATGTGCTAATATTTGATCAAAAATGTGCTGGATGTTGAATAGTACCGGGTTCAATACCAAATTGACGAAGAATATTTTCGACCGGAACATTTGCTATTTAGAAGAAAAAATGTTTGTTGTCCGTTATCTTGTTATTTTTCTTGTTAAAAAATTTCTCCCTTACCAGGTACTTGATAAACCATTGACTGTCCACAAGAATGACCTACAGTTGGCACAGTTGTTATACTACCACTGTATCCACCTAATCCGGCGATTGTCTGCGAATGACATACACAACTATATGGCATTCCATAAGATGACGAAGATATGGTATTTGCTGCTCCACTTTGCATAACAACAACGTCCGATTGAGGACAACTCATACCACCATAAGCGGGTTGTATTATAGAATGTGGATTATATGAAGTAAGAGATGAAGGATATACCTGAATGAATAATAAAAACAGAAGGGAAAAACAAAATTCAATTGAAATTTCGATATTTACTGTTGAACAACTTTGTTGGCAACCACAAACTTGTGCTACTTGCTGACAAGGACATTTTGGACAAGGATCAGTGAAAATTTCAGGATTAACTCTTACTTGTGGTTGAGCATGTTGAACAATAAGGGGTGGTCTCGGTTGTTGAATCATAGGAGGGGGTGCACGTTCATAAATAACACGTCGTTGGCGCGGTGCTACTGGAAGCCACCTTTCTATAATAACGTTTTGCGGTTTGGGTGGTAGTGGAGGATATTGTTCAATGATTACTTGACGTGGAGGTTTTTGTGGAGCTGGAATTATTTTATTGATAATAGTAGTTGGTTGAGGTGGTGGAATTGGTGGTGGCCGCTATAGAGAAATAATTGAAATAAATAAATAAATAAATAAATACATAAACAGTCTATACAAACTTCACGAATAACAACTGGTGGTGGAGTTGGAGGTGGTGGTGGCGGAGCACGTCTGATAATCTACATACAATAAAATTATCATTTAGTATTTGATAAGTGCATTTAGTTACAAGAGGTGACTCAGGAGGTGGTTGAGGTAGCTGTTTTTCTCGAATAATAATTGATCCACTTACAGGTGGAGTTGGAGGTTGTAAATATCGCACAAAAATCTATTATTAAAAATGAATACCTCTTTCATAAATAAAAAACGAATATTAATTACTCGTTGTTTGTATTCAACATTGCCTTGTGCTGGCCCTTGTACAACACGAGTATTTGGATCACGTTTCAGATTCTATAAATTTATCAAAACAAAACCAAAATTCAATTAAAAATAATCCATATTTATTTTAATTTCATTGACTTACTTCAACATCAGCATCATATGATTGTTGATGTGAATAAGGTGCAAGAAATTGTGTTGGAGATGAAACAAAATCTTCATGTCTATATTGAGTGCCGTATGATTGACCATGCAAATGATCAGCTTGTGCATACGATACAGCACCATTATATAAATCCCCATAACGATCCGTATTATCATAATTATGAGTAACTATTGGTGCCGATGTCGATGGTGACATTACAGCAGAACGATGCTGATCTGCGACTAAATGTCCATGGCCAGCCTGGTGAAGCCAGTTAATCATTGATGAATCATTTGATACATCTTGTAAAGACATTGCGTTATTAAATTAGTCTTTCTTTATTATACATCTAGAACGCGACACTGTTGAAAATATATATATTCTCTTTTTTTTCAAAAACTGCTCGAAACAAAATTGTCTGTCGTCACGATCGTACACAATACAATAATATCGTGCATCAATTAAACAGAAAAGAAAACGTAATAAAGTGTTTTGCATTTTATCTACCTATACATATATATGCGTGTCCTTTAATGGTAGTTGCTTTCTATGATACGCTTTTTTCTTTGCTCATGTATACTTTACTAAAAACAGAGTAAGACCTGTTTACATAGTTGCCTTGAAGAGAAAATAGTGAAAGAAAAAATTATTTGTAAATTTTTTTCTCTGTATCGTGAAGCTATAATGATATGAAGTGTCTTATTTCATTATTAACTTTTAATATTGATTAGAATCGAAGGCCACCTACAATCATGTGAATTATTTGTTTCATTATTATTTTCGTTTCCAATACCATCAGCAATGCTGAGGTACTATGCTTATTATTGATTCAATGATGTGCATCTGCCGACAATTGTGTAAATTATAATCGGATGAGAATGATACGAATAGTAGAAAGAAAAAAAGACGACCTAGAACATATGTACATAAATATGATGCATGAACTATTTTCATTTCGAATGATTCAAAACAATTTAATAGTGAAATATAAATAATTGAAAAATAAAATTTTCTTTCTTTTTGAATCGTACGAAGAATCAAGTTCGATTGAAAATGTTTAAAGAATTAATATTTATTTGTTTCATAGGGAAAAAAGATTTCCGCTTATTTTATGTCTATCTCAAAATAAATTGTTTGTGCATTTAAAAATTAATTGATGATTATTTTAATGAGAATTGCATTGGTCTTTCTTTAATAAAAGTAAATTATTGTCAAGTATATTTTGATCATTAACTAGACATCCTTCATGATTGTCCTTTCAGCGTGTATTTTGCTGTCCTTGTATTTGGCTCGTCGCGTTTCCCATCAAATTTATTAATCATGGTTATGTACCAATATTCTTCATTTTAAAAATTCTAGAGAATACCAGGGAATCAAACGCTTAATAAAACAACTAGGCATATTAATCAGGGTTGCCAGCCGTACCCCATTTGAGCCTTTTGTACCTCAAAAAAATTGTACCTCTGAGGTACGCATTTTGTACCCGATCTGCATTTTTCAATGTTACGACTACTATCATCCATATTTTGGTTGAAACTAAGAAAATTTCTGTCTCTTTATCCGACATTTACTATTGATATAGATGTGAAGCGTCAATTATATTGGTTGGCTGCTAATGGTCATGCTTATGAAGAATTCAACAATGACATATGCAACGAGTCTCATGATGAAGATAATCTCATTCACAAATCGACGATCGAAAATCATGAAAGAGAAGTGAAATTTTGGTCTAATCAATTTTGGACTTTTCTTCTTGTAAAGTCGAAACCAATGTGTAGTGAAATGTACAAAATTATTTCTTATGTGTACTCAATTCCTTGCTCGAATGCATCTGTTGAAGGCGTTTTTAGTCATATGAAAAGCGCATGGGCTGCCAGTCGCAATTTGATGGCGAATGAAACGATAGCTGCTGAATTGAAAATCAGATTGAATAGTACTATTCCAGATTGAAAGTAGTTTTGAAATTGATTTCCGTCGCCGATGACCAGTATGAAAGATGTAAACTGCGTACCTCACGAATGTACCCCATTTACCACTGAGTTGTACCCGACATGTACCCCATTTAGAAATCAGTGCACCCCATTTGGGACCTGAACACCTGGCAACCCTGATGTTAATTGAAGTTTTGAAACATCATATACCTTGTTAATGTGATATTCAATAGGAATTCGTGTATGGATAAGACTGTTTAAGTCCAATTGTAATATGTTAATCCATTTAAGACCAATAAGTGGTTCACTTTTGCCATTAACAAGTATCATTAATAATTGAAAATTTTTGTTTTGATATTGAACTGTAACATAACATTCACCTTTAATTTTAATACGTGTTCCACTATAACATTTCAATTGTAATTGAGATGGATGAATAGTAGGTGATCCAGTTTTATACCAATCGTTGATAATAATAATTGTATTAAATGTTCCAGTATCTAATTGAAAATCAATATCATGATCATTGACTTTCAGTGGAACAGTACATGAATAATTATTAAGCTGTTCAATTCGATCAAGATTATTCAATTTCAAAATTGTAGTTATGTGTTTAGTTGAATTTTGGTGTTCATTTCTTTGTCTGCATACTCGTTCTAAATGACCAGATCGTTTACAAAAATTACCAATAAACTCACGATATTTGCATTTTGATCGAAGATGTTTATTTGATCCGCATGTTTCACATGCTTTATAATTATCTTTTTTTTAAATCAATGATGGTCTGGTTGTTTTTGGCGTCGCTGATGGTTGTGCAGCTTGGCCACTGAATAGTCATTATGATTATTCGGAGCAGCAAAATGACGAACATCTTCTTCCAAACGTTCAGCTAATTAGATTATTTTTTCAGTTATTTCTAAATCAGGATCTTGTTCCTTAAGTAATGCGTGTCGAACTTTATTGCTATTAGTTCCGATCACATACATATCACGAAGTGCACGGTCTTGCGGTCTACGATGTAAAGCTGATGTGGTAAAAGCACAATGACGAAGCTTTTCGCATAATTTCGCTTTCCATTCAGCGAATGGTTGACCGGATTTTTGATAACAAGAATAGAAATCATACGTAGAAGTCATTATATTTCTTTTTGCATCATAATGCACATCTAATAGTTTAATTACATCGATGAATTTAGTATCATCATCGGTTAATGATCGTGGAGAAATCAATGACTCTAATAAATTATAAGTTGTATCACCAACAGACCATAGAAACAAGGCTTTTTTTTATCTTCATCGGTTTCAATGCGATTTGCTTTGAAATAAAAGTTAATACGATCCCGATAAGATTGCCAAGTACTACTATGAGAATCAAGCATGAAGTGCCGGAATTGAAGAAATTGCTGGTGATTGAAATGTGGATGTGGACATTGACTTAGCCATATACAATTATATATCACGAATATAATTTATGAATGAATTGAACGAGTAAGCAGAAAAGAATTGTCTTGTGTTGAAAAAGTTCAACAATTGAATTAAAGAAGGAAAAGCTCTCGGTGCCAATGCAGACTTGCTCTTGTATATATAAGAACGACTTTCTATATATGTTTTTATTTCACGTTTTGAAATAACAACCAGAACAAATCACGCAAAAGAAATAATATTGCGTAATAGAAAATTACGCAACAAAAATAGTCAGATCATTATTCGTCTTGTGATTGACCTTGGCAGAACATACAACAAAAAGATTAAAGACAAAAACATTGCCCAATTATATCAAGAACGAATGTAGCGAGGAAGAAGAAAATAACATGTCACAAGAAAGAAAACATCACTAACAAATATAAGAGTATATCCTTCAACGGATGATAGTAGATTGTTGTTCGCTTTCAAGGTAGGGATATCTTATTCTTCGTTATCGGGTTTACCATTTTACTTTTTCGTTAAAAGAATACAACACTCTGCCTTTCTGGGTAGAGTAAGTTACCCTTTCTCAGAAACAGTTCATTATTCTACGCCTAAGTGTAGATTCTGCTACTATTTCCTGCTAAGGGTTTAGTATTCCACGTTCAACAGTTGATTCATCTACATCTTAATAAAAAGGGTTTAGTACTGTACGTGAACGCTCGATTCTATGCCTCTTCATTAACAGTTTTTTTTTATTCTACTGACAAATATCGGCTTATCTACCTTAGCATCTCAAGGGATAGTTTCATCGTCGGTTGATGGTTGATTCTACTTCTCTTTTGCTGAAAGAAGTTCATTGTTCATC